TCCACCTCTGTTAAAGTCCTCCTGACCTCTGAGGTTCAGCTTAATCATTACGGCCTCCATGAAGCCTTTCCTGATCCTCCCCAGTAAATGAACTCTCCCACCAGAGGACTTTGCTCACAATGAATGCATCTAACAGAAACACCAACTTTAACTAGGACTTTCTTCCCTGATTATTCTAGCTGGAGAGTCTCCAGCCCAAAAGATAAGAGAAATGTGAATTCCTGGCACCAGGGCTCTCTCTGCATATGAGGACAAAATGTAAAAAATGGTAGCCACCACATTCCACTTTTTCTTAAAAATACCAGCAATTTTTGCATTATACAAACTCTTGGTACTGCCATTTTCTTCTGATGTTGCAATTACTATTGCTAAGGTCATTAATGCCTTTATTGCAAAATGCAATGAATACTTTCCTGTTTTACCTTTTTAATGGTCCCTGTAACTCTCCTTTCATATATCCAGTTATTCAGCAAATATTTAATGAGATCAGATACTGCACTAGATGCTAGGAATGCAATGGTGAGGAAAACACCCAAGGGTCCTCTCATTAGGAGATAAGATGGAGCACAAAAGAGACCAGCCATCAAGCAACCACCAGAGTGTGGTAAATGCTGCACTGGAGGAGTCACAGGGCATCCAATCGAGTTCAACAGAAATGATATTAAAGTGAAATCTGAAGGAACAGTTCAGAGGGAACATGAAGGACTGGAGGCAAAAACACACACACACATTTGAGGAATTTAAAGAAGTTCCTGAAGGGCAAGGGAAGTTAAGGAGAGACATTTCATAAAGGGCTTTGCACACTGTGACAGAGTTTGGGTTAAAGGCAATGAAAGCCATGGAAAGCTTGTGAAGAGGGTAACGAGAGGACAAAGATAACTGGCTGCAATTTAAGAAAAACATTTCTACCATCTCCATTATTTTTTATTCTGTCTTAAATGATCTTCACTGTTGCCTTATTCTAAATACTTTAAGGAGCTAAATTAAAAGAACATCTATAATGGATGTGAGAGAAAGCAATAAGCTCTCCACACATCACAGGTAAATTATATGTAAAACATAAGTTATTTTTGCAGACTCCTGATTAACATTACAAAATAGATAAGGTTAACAAAAGACTAACAGGTAATTTTATCTTCCTTTTATTTAAAACTTGCCAGCACCAAATTATTCATGCTAACTGAACAGATATATACATAACCTAACATGATCAATAATCCAGATCTTTTCTATTTCACTTTGAAACGTGCCTTTTAATTTTCATTTAAACATGGGCATCTCTGAAATCTAGAATTTACTTCAAGTCACACCACCAGTTCCTAATACCTAATCTTGTACCCTTTCCATAGACTGAAAGCATATTTTAGGCTGGTGTCGAGATTTGGTAGAGTGGTTTAGACCTTTTTCTTTACACTTTTTTATATTCTATGACTTTTTTTAAAAAAGCACGAAGGAGTCACTTTATTTTTCTGGTAATAAAAACATTTCCACATGGAAAACAAAGAGTAGAAGTACCCTCTTTCACATCTTCCTTGAGAAGAGTCAGGTTAAATAATTGCGTTTAGAGCTTCTCTGAGGCACAAGACCTTGACAAAGCAGTGTGGGATCAAGGCTATCGTTTAGGCTTGCATACTGGTAATTTGAATAGTGACTGTTTTCTAAACTATTTTGTGGAAAATACTAAAATGAACAGCAATTTCAGCAACCAATGGATAACAAAACAAGGATGTTACAGAACTTTAAAATATTTTTTGAGGGGCCGGCCCGGTGGTGCAGGGGTTAAGTTTGCACGTTCCGCTTCTCGGCCACCCGGGGTTTGCTGGTTCGGATCCCGGGTGCGGACATGGCACCACTTGGCACGCCATGCTGTGGTAGGCATCCCACATATAAAGTAGAGGAAGATGGGCACGGATGTTACCTCAGGGCCAGCCTTCCTCAGCAAAAAGAGGAGGACTGGCAGTAGTTAGCTGAGGGCTAATCTTCCTCAAAAATATTTTTTTTGATAGAGATCACTGATTAAAGATTTTTGAACTGCATACAATTAATCAAGGAATGAAAAGTGCTTTTACACCAAACCTAAACACAACAAACATGCTGACAATATTATTACTTGAAATATTTAATATTTAAAGATATTATAAGAAAGTTAAGGCAAAATGCTATTATTCTGAAAATGAAAGGGTCAGGACAAACTCCTTTTTACCTACTCAATAGCTTGTATAGATTAAAAAAAAAATCTAGTTATTAGAAATTACTTCCAACTTTGCAGTACAGATCTTCCTCAACTTACGATGGGGTTATGTCTCAATAAAACATCTTAAGTTGAAAACATCCTAAGTCAAAAATACATTCGGTACATCAAACCTAGCAAATGTCCCAGCTTAGCCTCGCCTACAGTGACACTCACAGTCAGACAGAAGCGTCTCACACAAGCCTGCTGGATAATACAGTGTCAAGTATCTCTTGTAACTGATTGAATACTGCACTGAAAGTGGGAAACAAAACGGGTGACTGGGGTCAGAGTGGTTGCAGCGTCTCGGCTGTCCACCCTCGTGATCGCCGGAGGGACTGAGAGCTGAGGCTCCCTGCACTGCCAGCATCGCGAGGCAGGATCGTGCACATCCCGTTGGCCTGGAAAAAGATCAACATTCAAACTTCTGAGCACCATTTCTACTGAAGGTGTATCGCTTTCACACCATCATAAAGAGGAAAACTTGTAAGTCAAACCGTTTAAAGTGGAGGATTGTCTGTATTTTCAAATAAAAATTAGTAAAGTGACAGTGGATTTATACCTCTTTATGGGTGGAAAAGGGCTAAAAGAGTTGTATCTTAACATAGAAACTCAAGTATTTTCTGTTATTGTCAGCTGAGGCTGTATATTTCATCAAATGTTGACACAACCATTTGAGAAAAAGATGGGTGGGCCCTATAGCACTCATATCTAGTAACTGGTTTAGGACCCTGTGAGATGATGAGTGTTATGTGAGGAATCTATAACATGACGATGCTTTTGGGTAATAGTTTTCAATTCTTAAAAAAAAGCCAAACCCCAAAACATTGTGATTTTGTTGTTTAAAAAATTGTTTTCATTTTAATCATCTGAGTTAGTAATAAATATACAAAACTGTCCTTCACATTTCCAATTTCCATACATCGTATTATGGACCACTTAAAATTCTGGACTACAAATGCAAGTTTCTTTGTGTCCTTAACTTCAATTATTGTCATTTATAAAGAAAGGTGATTTGCAAAAACATGCATTTGTGAACACAGATGCCAAAGGTTGTACATGTAAGTTAATGCACAACCAAAAGCGTACATTGTTTATTTGTGCAGTTATGTGTCAAGTGCAACTGACACAATTAGAAGCAGTCATCCTGGGATATTTCACTCTATCTGAAAAGCAGTCTTGAGAAACAGATGGAACTATGTCTTTAAACAAAAACTGTATTCTACAAATACAATAAAATTCACAAACGTGTACATCTGAAGCAACTCTTGAGACCCAAAGCTGACTCAATAACCCTGCTGCTGTATTGGTTTATGGATATATCTCCAAAGTCACAGGCTGGGGAATAGCTGCTTTAAAGAAAATAAATATACATATTAAAAGGAAAGTAAGGCTTTAAAAAATGTGATGAAAGCTTTGAAAACAGTAATAATGTATGAATCATCTATGAGTTTTAAATTTTAGAAATTTAAAGAAATTTAAAGATAATCTGAACATTTTTTAAGCCATTATAATTAAAGTTTTCCCATCTTACCAATGTTTTCTATTTGAAAGTGTAATAGAAAAATGGACAGTTTCTATTGTTGAACTACTATAATTCATAAATCATTATAAATTTATGACTTCAACAGAGGCTCAAGTAGTGGAAACTGGCCATCATGCAAATGAAAAGCAGGAGCCTGCTTGCTTCTCCAAACAGTAATGTGAACTAGAAATAAACACCAACACAAAATGATTTTTTATACAAAATCATTTTCAGATATCAGAAGGCAGGAAAATCAAATCTTTCTTAAAAATGTTTTCCTGGGTTGTGCAACATGTGCTTTACCTCTTTGACTCAATCCACCACCTAAAGTTATTTCTATTATAAATCTCAAACTGCCTGGCAAGGACTGTGAAGGCTAACCAGCCTAGGTATTTGACATCACCCCCAAGGACAGACTGATGTATAGCTGTCATAAGTGTCCCACTTTTCTCTAAGGCCTGGAGTTTGATGTCTGTTTATGCTATGTGGATCACATGACAGAGGATGGTGCAAAGTTACAACCAGGTCTCCTCCAGGCAGTCCTATAGACTTGGCCTCTGATATCACAAAAACACTTGTTTTACTAAAATGAATTCAACTGCAAACAGTTGGAGGGCAACTGTAGTTGAAAAGGAAATGGGTTATTTTCTACAAGAAACATCTCTATTTCCTAAGGGTCTTATCATGAAGAAAATGTGGCTAGTGGTTTCAAACAGGTACTTCAAGAGTTACCCTAAATGCAAGACGACTTTTTAAAATATTTAAACCAACAATGATTCAGGAAAGTAAGCTGGGGGAGTAACATAAAGACTTGTAACACTACATTAGGAGATGCAGTATCTGCTGTGCACTTTGGAAATGAAAGCAACCAATTCTAGCCAGAGTCAATATCAGAAAGAAATACGGCTGCTTCCTACTCTTCTCCATTTAGCAAAATTAATTGGATGCTCATTGCTGATATTCTCTCACTTGAGTTAGGCAAAATGAATCAAATAAGTTACTTTTGTTTTCCAAATAAGCTGCTTAAACGGTTTTTTTGTTTTAAACTTTCAGAAATCGAACATTTAACCCTTGAGAGAAACTGCTATTATTGAGTATCCTGTCTAAAGGCAGGTGCAAGGATTGTTGGATTAAGGATTATTGCTCTTAAAAAGATAACCATCAGAAACAAATATGTTAAGTTTACCTCAAAAACTGATTTTTCACCCAATGCCACAAGGGTTCATTCTCAAATTGAGTCACGTGTTACCTTCAATTCTTTGCCAGTTTACTGAGGTTTTAGCTATTAGAAGTTGACCTATTAACTCAAAATCAAGACAACAGCAATATCCACATACGCATGTCTTATTTGGGCATTAAGCAGTAACACTGCTTTCTGGATAGGACTTAAGGCACTAAATGGTGGGAAAATAAACAAGTAGGATGATTAACAACATCTTTAGAATCCTAAAAAAGGAGATCATTTAGAAGGACACTAGTAAATCTTTTTCTCAAACAAATAAGGCATCCTGTTGGCAAACATAAATAAAATACAAGGTCATGTTGAACCTAATACGTTCACTGTCTCAGCCAAATGACTCAAAACACTAACTATCGAACTAAAGAAGGCTACAATATACATCTAAAGGTTGGAAAGGCACCCAAAGGAGAGCTCCATCACTTCCAGTTCTCAGTTAGGTAAGATGTGTTTAACACTGCATGAAGACTACTAAACGTTTATTCTTCAAAATGTATAATGTGGTTAGATTTTTATTTTGATAAATCAGTTAATCAAGTGCTAATTTAGTAAGAAATTTATTTTCATGAATCAGGAAATGACTGCAGTGTCTAACACAATCCCATTTATAAAGCTAAACTAATTCTAGTACTAAATGCATATTCTGGATAACGCTGAAGGAAATCTGTATAAACAAAAATGGTTACCTCAAGATAGAATTCACAATAGAAATTCAATATATATCTAAATAAGATTTACTGAAAATAATGAAAAGTGCAGTACAGATACATCAAACATAATTATAACCACAACACTTTCCTTCTGAAAAATACAACTATTAGTAAAATAAAATGTACGACTGAAAATTTTTCCAAAGGAAAAAATGTATAAAGGAAAATACTTTTCTTTGAGATAGGGAAAATAGTATGTCATTGTTTTTTTATCACAACATAATTTGACACGAAAAGCAGTCATAGAATTGCACCAATTCCACATCCAGTTTCCTGAACATGTTAAGAGTAATAGGAGTTCGTAAAGCAGAATGCAGTTTCTGAATTTCATATTTTAAACTGTTGATATTCTCGTACAAAATGTCACATCACACCAGATCTGTTTTCATAACGTACAATACTTTCCATTTCGTGGCCAGACATGAATGCAAACATAGGCTTTCTGCCCCCTTTCTTTCATCCTGGTGTTTAGTCAGAGTCAGGAAAAAATTATCAAGTTACTTAAGTGTTATCTCTCTAGCAATAAAGAAAAATTGTATTTAGTGCCTGCTTCATCATTTGTCAAAAAACATTTCTGAATATAAAACTCAGTTACCCAATGGTTTACAAAATAGAAAAATCATTCATTAGGATACACATGTCATGGGATTTAGGTCCACTTCCAAAGGACTGAATGCCTTGGCAGCACCACTGTCCTTCAGCAGAGGTCCCGATGCCAGTTCCCTGATCGGAGCAGGTGGGCCTGCAGGAGACCACTGCTTGATATTCGATTATCTGAGGCCTTAGACCCTCTTTGATCACCCCTCTCTGCCATCTCATTAGTGCTACAAAATAGATGGCACTTTTGTGGAAATTTTTAGGAACATTTCTGCTGAACATGATTTAGAAGTTCTCCAAATTTTTCAAATAGGTCTTCCACCCATTTCACATTTTTCATACAAAGTTGAACAATTTCTTCCTGTCCTAAATCTTCATTTCTTTTCTGCACAGAAGAAATCTAAAATAAAGAGAATTGGCACATTAGCTTATACTTATCACTTTATAAGCTCTTCACAAGGGCTTACTGTTTCTATATTCTGAATGAAAAGAGATTAAGTCACCTACAAGTAGGAATCTTTTTTGGGAAAAATCTATCCATGGAAAAGGATTATTTCAAATAAATTTGGGTTAAGTTTAATACTATCATTTTTGGCTCCATGGGGGCAGGGAGGAAGGCTAGGAAAAGTGGTTCAAACTTTCTCAATTCCTTTCAATTTTGTTAAAAGCTGAAAGGCAAATTTGGGGGTCAATTCTGCATTTTGAAGCACTGTAACAGCAGTCACCATATTTTACATGACCATCTTTACTTTCTCCTTTGCTAGACTTTAGATTTATGAACAACCTTCCACACTAAACCATGATCAAACATATCAGGTACAGCCTTGAGCCAACTTCACCCTTTTTGATTAAAAAATTGATAGTGCTGGTCAAAAAAGGTAGTAATGTCTATAGTCATTTAACCTCTAAGCAAATTAATCCTTATATCCAATCCAAAAACGGTATTATTGTCATACATAACTTCTGAGCAACTCAAATTATGGTATTTAATAGTTAACATTAAATTTTAATTATCATTTCTTCATGCCCTATTTCTCTGCAATTAAGTGGGATAAGGCCATGCTAGTGAAAAGAAGACAGCAGTGACTGAAGCAAATTACAGCAGAATCATTATACATTATGAGAGAACATGCAGCAAAGGACCAATTATCATGGCAATGTACAGCAAGCTCTAACAGCTTAAAAACATTACCACTTACAGTTTCTGTGAGAGGCGATGAGCCTCAGATTACTCTGAGCACTGAGCACAACACACGACAGAGACTCCGAACAATAAGTCGTCTTGTTACTATTTACAGGAGAATATAGACACATTTTCTAACAATTGCCTTTAAAACATTAAAAAGTACTATACCTACAGTCTCCTTAAAATTTGGAAAAACACACATTTCTTTTTTAAAATAAGTGAAAAATACTTACCTCTTTACATATGAGATAAACAAGATATTTATAATGATGTAGTGAATGATATAAAGAATACAACTGTATTTTCTCTGGATCAACAGCAAACTCCTATAAAAACAAAAGAGTTTACAGATATATTTATTTCATGGAGCAATCTGAGCTAACAATACTTTTACAAAAGTACTAGACCAAAAGTCTCAATGGAAATCTTAAAAATGATTTCTATGGCTAGGCATTACCCTGTATTAATATCAACAAGGAGCTTATTCAAAAAAAGAATTTAAATTGTATTTTAAAATCTTCATTCTTTTTCCTGAATATAAATATACACTATTCCAAAAAATGAAACATTATACAAAAATTTACACAGTAAACATATGACTTATAAAGCAAAAGAATCCTATAATCTCTTGATTCAGAGATAAACGAGGTTAACAGCATTACAGTTACGCATTCTTCCATGTCCCCCCACACATATATTAACCACACTAATTTTGTAAAGAGAAGGGAATCATACTATACATATTGTTCTGCAACTTTCTTTTTTATAACTAGTTTTTCACGTAACTAAAACTTGGATATCTTTCTCTTTATTACATATGCCCCCCAATATAAATTATATGAGGGCAGGGATTTTTGACCATTTTTCACCGTTTATTTGTGGTACTTAGAACTGTATTTGGCACACCACGGGCATTCAAAAATTTTAGTGAAAGAACAAATGAATCTACCTCTTCTTTTTGAAAAGTCCATAGCATTACATTATCTGAATGGCTCTTTATTTATCTAGTCTCACAGTGATGATACATAACTGAACTGCTCTTACAATTCTGCAATGAGCAAATGCATGCTTTTATGCATTTGTAAATATGTTTATACAGAATACATCTTTGATGTGGACTTGATATGTTGCTAAGCTGTTTTCTGAAAAAGCAGTAATTTAGACCATGTTTGAAATTGAATGGATTCCAATTTTAATAATTTTGCAGATGGAATCCACACTGAATCCTATGGGAAGTGTGCACACTCACTTCTCTGTCTGCATTTGCATCCAATGACAAAAAAACTATAGAAAAAAATACAAATGCAGGCACAGGATGATTCCTTGCTTACCAGTCTATTTAAAAAATGTGTGAGCACCCACTGTCTGCCAGATACTGTGCTAGGCACTGGAGACAAAGACTAACACCAAGTCCCTCTTCCTTAGGCCAGAGCTGCTCATTTCTACCTGAAAAAACTTCACAATTAACAACATGGTAAACTGCTTGCTTATTTCAATGTTTTAAGTAGGAATTATATTAACAACTGGAAAAGGTATAATTACAACAATCAATATATACTCACTTGTGCAAATTTAGTGGTTGTCTTAGAAGTCCTTAGAGTTTTCTTATTATAAGCTCTGCCATTCATTTTGATTTTAGAAATGGCAGATCCCCCACTTTTTGCTTTAGAGTCTTGAGTAATTGTTGTTAGTTCAGGAAAATTTTCCAAAGCACTCTTTAAAATAAAGCAAAAATAATTCACATCAGAAGAAAAATAATCTAAACTATTTCTAGCCACTCAAAATTTATTTTAAAAAATATGGAAATATATACATATGTGTACATATACACACACAAATATATGTGTAGGGGATTGATGGATGTGGTAAATAAATACAATATACACGTACATATACATACACATGTGGGTGTTTTAAACATGGCCACAAATTCTTTGCAGCTCCTCCCATCAAGATGTGGAATCTATTTCCCCAGCCCTTGAATCTGGGCCAACCTCATGACCTGCTTTAAGCAACAGCCTGTGACACTGTGGGGACTCCCGAATGAGGCAGAGAGTTCTTTCGAGTCATGCCTCTCTGGTTTCATGATAGGAGAAAGAGGGACACATGTAAGTTTCTTCAAAGCTCTACCAATTAAACCACTGTTAACACCCTGAAACTTGGCCAAGCCCTGCTATGAAGAATTCATCTGACCCAGGATGAGAACAGAGGAAAACAAGATGCTTCTCTGGCTTTATCACTTCTCTTGCTTCACTGACCACAGGAAAAGCATGATAATTTAGTGATAATTTAGTGATAATTTAGTGGTCATGTGGCAGAACCAATTCCAGTCCATTCTTTAAAACCCACAGGCATATTTATGCCCTAACCTACTTGGCAAATCATCTTGCAATAAAAAGCTACAAACACTAACTAAATAATATTTGTAGCTAAATCTAACTAATTTAAATATTGTTTTAAAAAATTAAAGTGAGTTACCAGTATCATTTATTATTTTGACACTAAACAGGTTCAAGTGCTCCCATTATATATTTTTTCTCTTATATTTATTATTCAGAACATAGTTCTCATTCAATAAGCTCAATTGTTTTATAAACAGTTACAACCTTCAAGGCCACTCTCTTCCAAATTCTGTTTGCGTGCCTAAGCACCTGGCATTGTGACCCCTGAAACAGGACATTTTTTAACAGATAGTCTAATGTTTTTTAGATATAAGTGTAGGAGGGAACGAAGTTTAAGTTTCATCAAATAGAAATAATGGGATCTTTGGCATTTCCTCCAGAGTGAGCTATCATTAATTTCTAGCTTCCTTCTCTTTCTTAAATTGTTTGTGCTTTTATTACATAGTTTGGTGCTTTCCATATAAAACATGCCCAGGTTTGAAAACTTTTGGACCCTGAATTACTATTTACAACAAATGGAACTTAAAGACAAAATAAGGATTCCAGATTTGGAAATAATGAACACCAGGTCAACGGAGATGAAAAGAGAATATTTAAATAATCTTTCTAATAAGCACAAGACGACTGGGAGTACATGGATTTCAAATGAAAACAGAACTTCAAAAGGCTTTAGGATTGCTAAAATTACCAAGATCATCATGGAAAATGGTGCTAATCATTTCCAAAAAATAGAAAATCTTTTCTAATATACTGTTTGTAATATTTTACATCAAATCATTCTAACTTTCAATAATGTATATTTTGGCTTTGAAATGCAAGTTACTATAAATAAAAATTATCAAAATTAATAAGTATAATTTCAAAATTAGAAATTTTTTCTGTGAAATAACATGAAAACTAATTTTTCAGTTTTCATCATAAACTATTGCATAAGTTTTAAATATCTACTGAGTCCATTAAATTCCAAGTGGTGGCTTTATTTTAATACAAGTTACCAGAGAACTGGTTTGACATTCTAAAAACAGTTAGCCCAAACTGGTCATTTTTAAGATTTAGAAAATTTTTAGAAAACACCCATCTAACAACATCCTATTGTCTGAAGAAAACATGACATTTCCCAAAGGGCTGTTTCGTTTGAAGACAGCAGTTAAGCAGAAAATACTGGACTGGGAATCAGTAGACCAAATTCTTAGTACTGGGCTTCTTACTAGCTTCTGACTTTTTTCTCAGCAAGTGCATGTCAGTGAAGAATACAGGACTACCAGAAGAGCTTGGGGTCACCTAGCAAAAATGAAGTCAAGTTTCACTTTTATGTGGAGTTCAGATAAAATAGGGATGTGAAAAAGCTATACAAATTACACAAAGGAGTTGAAAACATGTCCATGCAAAAGCCTGCACACGATGCGTATAGTAGCTTTCCTGATAAAATTGCCAGGATTGGGGAGCAACCAAGATGTCTTTCAGTGGGAGAATAGATACATTGTTATCTATCCAGACAATGGAATATTATTCAGTGCTAAAAGGAAATGAGCCATCAAGCCATGAAAAAACACTGCAGGGGCTGGCCTAGTGGCCAAGTGGCTAAGTTCGCGCACTCCACTTCGGCGGCCCAGGATCCTGGGTGCAAACATGGCACCGCTCATCAGGCCATGCTGAAGCAGCGTCCCACATAGCACAACCAGAAGGACCTAGAACTAGAATGTATAACTATGTACTGGGGGGCTTTGGGGAGAAAAAGAAGAAAAAAACAAAAAAGAAGAAGATTGGCAACAATTGTTAGCTCAGGTGTCAATCTCTAAAAAAGAAAAGACAAGACATGGCAGAACCTTAAATGCATATTACTAAGTGAAAGAAACCAATTTGAAAAGGCTACACACTGTCTGATTCCAACTGTATGACATTCTAGAAATGATAAAACTATGGAGATAGTGAAAAGATCGGTGGTTGCCAAAGGTAGGAGGGAGGGAGGGATGAGTAGGCGAGCACAGAGGATGTTCAGGGCAATGAAACTACTCTCTATGAGACCATAATGATACACACATGTCATTGTACATTTGTCCAAACCCTTAAAATGTACAACAGCAAGAGTGAACCATAAGAGATGCTGATAACGGGGAAAGTTGTTCATGTGTGGGGACGGGGTATATGGGAACTCTCTGTACTTTCTGCTCAATTTTGCTGTGAACCTAAAACTCCTCTAAAACTGAAGTCTATTTAAAAAAAAAAAACTATACAAATGGATAAAAAAACTTCTCCCAAGCTAGATATAATCAAATGATTCCAGGTGTTGTATGTTATACTTTGAATAAGCTGGAAATTTTCTGACTACTAAGTAGCTTCTATCACAATTTTTCTGAGTTTACATTAGCTTATTGTTGTTCTATATTTCTGATAACACCAAAACCAATTTGTAGTGCCAAGATAAATCAACGGATATACACATATCCCCTATTATGTGAGAATTAATTTTTGCTCAGATATTGAGTAAAGCACGCAAGTAAAGGGAATGTTAACAACTGTGCTAGACCAATTCTCATTACAGGTGAAATGAGAAAATTTTTAAAAGGTTTAGAAGAAAAACAAGGTCGGAATACAGTAGTTTAAAGCAAGTACTTTTGAAAACATTTGGAAATTATTATATAGGAGGAAAACTAGAAAAATATAAAAGCCTGAAAAATGAATTTAAGCAGAAAAAAGCAAATGATTAACACTAAGAATGTGCTTAATACAATAAAAAGACAAGCTAAACAGACTCACAATGAATAAAAATCAAATTTTTTGTTGGTTGAAAATTTTATGAAACTGAAAATGACTTTCATAAATTTTCCAACCTATTACGCTTAAGACTATGATTGCCACTGAGTTTTGCTAATAAATCATATGAAGGAAATACCTTGAATGACTGATCCAAGTGGAGATTCAAAAGAAGTCTCTTTCGATTATCATTCAGCATGCTATCTATTTTTTTCATATGAGGCAAAAGTAGCTCATCTAAAACAAGATAAAAATTTATTGGAATAGGATAAACTATCAACAGAAAAGCTTGTTAAAAATCTGTCTTTGTCTCAAAACATTATTAAGACCTTAGCTGAGTGAGAAAGCAGCAGTGCAGTGTGTGGACAGGATGAAAGCCCTGCGTTCTAACCTGTCCTTGCCTCTAGAATTAACTGACACACGACATGACCAGTGGGCAACTGCCTAATTTCTCCAGATCTCATTTACCATCTGAACAGTAAGAGTATTACAGGATATAAATTTATCTAACATTATAAAATTTTATAAAATACTAAGTATGATATTCTTAATTCACTACAGTTTAAGGAGAAGAAAAATGATCAAAATCCAGTGTGAAAAATACAAGGGAAGAGTCAAAAGAGTTATTTCAGAGAAGGAAACTAAAAGTATGACAAAGATCCTACTCAAAGCTTTGTGCTTTCTTTGTCACCCCTGAAACTTTAAGCTCGTTTGAGAAAAGCCCTTCCAGAGTGTAAAGTTAATTACTTTTGGTGCTGTATTAAAGACTTTAGAATACAGAGTGTTTCTTAATTTATCAGCATAACAACATATTTTTATAATACTAATGACTTTTCTGAAAATGTATATATAATCCTCAGAATCTGGTTACTGGTTTCATAGTTCAATAAAATGTTTGGAATACAAACACAAGCACAGTGACCATCAGAAGAACACCTCCTCTAATTGAAGAAAAGGTCCTTAGTGTGCAATGCTTTCTAAGCTCACTAGAACACACCTGATAGTTTTCTTTTATCTTTCCAGTAGTGACTAAATCAATTCAAATACTACAAGAATTTACATTTCACAAAAACAAGTTTTAAACATTTGTGGATTATTTTAAAGTATTATAACCATTAAAATCTTCCCCCCTTATATTAAATGGAGAAAAATCAGAAAACAATGATAAACAGTAGGGGAAAAAGTCATTTAAAATACAAATACCAGAAATGACCACTACTAAGAGATGCATATTTTATGATGCAAGGAGTTTTGATTGACAGGGAAAACACTTAATGGCAAAAAGCCAACATGGGGAATTAACTATTGGGTTTTAATAATGGTTCTTCTACCACTAACTTATTCTATAACTTCAGGAAATATATTTTATCTCTTTGAACCTTCATCTACAAAATAAATGTCTTGGGGCCAGCCCAGTGGCATAGTGGTTAAGTTTGTGCACTCCACTTTGGTGGCTCGGGGTGTGCAGGTTCAGATCCCAGATGTGGACCTAGCACCACTCGTCAAGTCACACTGTGGCAGCATCCCACATAAAACAGGGGAAGATTGGCACAGATGTTAGCTCAGGGCCAATCTTTTGGACAAAAAGGTAAATAAATAAATGAATAAATGCTTTAAACCAGGTACTTTCTAATGTCCCTTCCAGCCCTACATGACTCTAAAATGACTGATGTACAGATTACTGTCTCTGATTATATGGTCAAAAAAGCAATGGATCAGGAACTCGAAAACCTTGGACTTCAATCCTTTCTCTGCTTCTTCCAAGTTGTGGGCTCTTAAGCAAGTCACTTAATCTCTTTGAGCCTCTCACTGTCTTCATCCACAAAATGGCTAAATTGTTCTGGGATTAATGTAGAATAACATACGTCAAAGTATGTGGAAATAATAAAACAATACATGTTTTTAGGCACTGCTGTTGAAGTATATTGTTACTGACTATGCTTTGCTATTGTCTTTTGATCTTACACCCATAGAATCATTTTGACAGAAGAAGGGTAATAGAAACTGGCTCATTAATCCTTTCATTCATCTTTCTAGTTGTCCCTGGTGAATGCTATAGTAGCTGAAGGGTAAACATTAGTGAGCAACATTAGATATATTTTATATAGTTTATTTATATATCAACTTCATCCCTACTTTACTATAAGAAAGATTAATAAAGCAAGAGTATAAAGGAATAATATTAATGAATATAAAACAATGCATATATTGTTTTAGTACTAACTGATTAGGAAATAATTACTTTGTGATATAGCTTTTACTGGACGCAAATATACAATTTTAATTTTTACACCATTATTATCCAGTTCTTCTAATTATTAGAAAACACAATATATGGACCTCTGGACCCTCCATGTAATACAGACACTGAGTGAAATATTGTAAAGCTCATAAAGATTCGTAAAATTGAAAGAAACTAGCAGATATTACATAATTTTCCCATGAGTAGAGATCAGTAAAAATACATTCAATATACAGTTATTCAAATATTCAGATAATTCATGAAAAGATATGACCATTGTATAGAATCAATATATCATGAATTTGTTAACTGATAAAAAAACATACATTAAACGCACAACTAACAGACAAGAACAACAAAGACCCAGGAAGTGCTACTCAGCAGATTATATACTGTTGCTCTTTAGGGCTTGCATCGTGTCGGGGTCCAGGACAATGCTGACAATCAATTCCATGTGGCTTTTAAAGGTTTCCTTCATCGCACTTGTGTTCAAAACACGAGTGATAAAGGGAGCTGGAGGATCAAATGCTGGGAAGGAGAAAGGATGAAATGTTAAATATCCCTTCCTGACAACTTAAGAACACTTTTATCTGTAACAAGAGCCTATAAACAGATTAAAGGTTGTAGATAAAATTTCTTCAGATTCAAGGTTCTCCCTCTGCCTTTAAACACCCCAAGTGAGACACTTTCAAAGCTGGTTTGCACATCACAATCACTAGAGATCTTAAAAAAAAAAAATCCAGATTGATGGATTTATTAAGACACAATCTTGTTTCGGGGGTCAGGTAGTGGTGATGAAGCTAGCACATTATACTTCAAAAAAGGTTCCCAGCTAACCCTAACCCTAACCCCTAACCCTAACCTTACCTTAAGCCTAACCCTGACCCTGATCCACACCCTGACCCTGACCCTAACCCAACCCTAACCCTACCCCTACCCCAACCCCAACCCACCACACTAACCGCAAACCCCTAACCCATAACTGTAGCCCTAGCACTAGCCTTAGCCATAGCCCGAACCCTCACCCTGGCCCTGGCCCTGACCCTGACCCTAAACACTCACCCTAACCCCTAACCCTAACCCTAATCCTAACCCTAACCTTACCCTAACCCTACCCCTAATCCTAACCCCTAAACCCTAACCCTAACCCTAAAACTTATCTCCCCAACCCTAACCCTAAACCTAATTCCCTAACCCTAACGACAAACATCACCATACCTTTAACCCTAATCCTAATCCCAACCCAGAACCTGTACCCAAACCACGAACCTTAACCCGTATCTTGTATCCTTAACCCCCAACCCGTAAATTCACCTTCACCCTTACTCTCACCCTCACCCCGCTCTTCTCACCTCTTGCCTCTAATTCCAGACCCCATCTTAAACTCTAAACCTTTGCCTAAACCCTAAACCCTGACACCGACCCCAACCCCTACCCTAACCACATCCCTGACGCCAGCCCTAACCCTAACCGCAAATACTCCATAATTAATCTACCACTGAAAACTGGGTGAGTTACTATAGAGCAGCTGTGGGGACTAGCCCGGGGCCTTTCTCCCCAAGGCAGCAAGGGCACCAAAGAAGGGGGTCACAGAGCGGCTACATAGGGTTTTAGAACAAATGGCATCCACCACATATGACAGGGATGTCCCTTCACTTGTCACCAGAAGCTTTGCTGACACCGCAGGTCGGTGAACACAGCGGGTCGGAGGTCTCAGGAAGCCGGGTCGGCACTCAATCCTGAGTTTAGGGGGAGAGGGTTTTCCTTTCAGAAACGCCGATGTGGGGACGCTGCATCCCCATCCTTACGGATCTCTCCTGTCTTGGGGACACAGTCAACATTTAAAGCGGATGCACGCGCACCCCACAGGCCAGGCCCCTTCGGGAAAACCAGTGCTGGCCGAGTTCCTTTCAACCCAAATGGCTCCCTCGGGCGCTCGTCCACCCTGTTGCTTGTCATGTATCCATGAAGCTTACAGCCCTGATCCTGAGGCCGATCTCTGACCCAGGCCCCACTCCACTGTCCCCGCCCGGCCACACGCCAAGACTTTCACCAGGACCGTGCTGCACCTACCCTGGCGCACAGTTCTCCGCGAGCTGCAATTTCAGAACAGACACAGCCACCGCCCAGCGCACACGAGCGCGTCCCGCGGGCTGAGCCTGAAGCGAGACTAACACATCCGGGCCGGGAGCCGGGGGGGCGACGGAAAGAACCGACGGCTGGCCGAGTGCGCCGAGGTTGTGGGAATCGCAGAGCCCTGGCGGAGATGGAAACAACCGCCAGCTGGCCGAGAGCGCCGAGCTTGTCCGAGTCACAGAGTCCTGGAGGAAAGAGCCGAGGGGAGACAGAAAGGGCCGAGAGTGTCTGAGGAGCAGAGCTTCTACCGAGCCGGGTGGGGAGGGGAGAGCCAAGTGTCTACGGAAAGGACCGAGCGTCGACGACAGGGTGGAGGATCCACGGAAAGAGCCACTGTTGGGCGGGGAGGGCCGAGGAATGAGGGAAAGAGCCGAGGGCCTAAGGGGAGGGCGGAGCGGCCATGTGGAGAGAGGAGGCACTGAGGGAGCAGAGGCGGAGCGAATGAGAGGGCTGGGCGGCGAGGGGCGGGCGGCGGCCATAGGGGCGGGGCCGCACGAGGAGCCGGAGTGAAGTGGGGACTCGGGGACACGGGGATCCGGGGTCTCTCCGGAGAAGCCCAGGAGCCCCCGCGCCCCCGGCGGGCAGGTAGCATCCGGGGTCTCAAGGCCGCAAGCCGGGGGCGCGTCTGGACCGTCGCGTAGCTGTGGATGGCGAGTGGCTGTCCTGTGCTCGCCCGCCCGCGTCGTGCGTGCGGCGTCTGCTGAGACGGGACCGTGCGGGGTGCTCCGCGGCGTCCGCTCTGCGCGGCGCGTCCCGTCGGGCGGCCCGGGCTGCAGACCGTTCGTGTTCACGTACCTTCGCCTTCCTTGGCCTTCCTTTGCGTTCTGGCGGCTGCTGCTTCCTGCTGGTCGCAGGCCCCCGAGGGGGCGCTGCTATCACCCGGGGTAGGGGGATGGCGGGCGCGGGTTGTCCCCAGGGCGCCACCGGCTTCCCTCAGGAGCACCGGCTGACGCGCAGGGCAAGAGGACGGAGCCCGAGCACGTACGGCCCTGGCAACGCCCCTGGCCCCACAGTCCCTCACGGGGTGGGGGGAGGGCGGCCTGGGTCCTGAGTGTCCCCGCCGGGTAGGCAGAGGCCCACGAGGACTGCCGGAGCGGGTGGGCCGTGAGATGGGGTGCGGGAGTGCAGCCGCACCGTCCCCTCCCTGCGTCCCTTGGGGCACGGTGGGCCCCACCTGGGCCCGACCGTCTGCGCTCCAGGCATCGGCCTCCCTCGGGCCCAACTCTCCCACCCTCTCGCCTGCCCTGCTGATGAGCGGCCGCTGGATCGCTCCCAGACTGCTCTTCCCAGGGCACGGTCTGTGTCTCCGAGGGTCTCCCTGGGAGGAGGCCCTGCGCGCTGGCTCAGTCAGACCTGGGGTACTGTAGGGACCTGAAATTGGCCACCCCAAGATACGTCTCTTTGGCATCAGGATTATTTGAGGCTGATTGCTTTTGATAAACTGGGACAGGGAAGGAGGCTCTGAGGAATGGAACTTGCCCTTTCTTAGGAAACATTTACATTTGTAAGGTAAATCTCTATCTGTAAAAGGTGCCTCCCTCTCTGTACCAGGAAGAAGAAAGGAGATGACCTTCTTTCTAGAAACTCTTAATCAATACCAAAGGCAAGGACTTAAATCTGCATTTTATTGTGCTCGTCTGGTAACCTCCTGTACCTGACTTCCCTCCCCCTCCCAACGTTGGCATTTCTTTAAGGATTAAGCATCTTTCCTTAGGCTAGGAACTGATTGCTGGGCTCACCTGTGACTACCCAGCTCCAGATAATCGACTTGCCTCCTGCCACGCCCACCACCGAGATAGCCGACCACTACCTGCTGTGTCCATCAAGCACTGTGCCGACAGGGCAATCTTGTGACTATTGTGGGAGGGACATTTCAATCACATGTGAAACACCCTGTTTGGGGGTATATAACCGCTTTGTGCACCCCACTTCTTGGGTGCCCTTTCTTCCTTCGGGAAGAAAGGCCCCGGGCCATGGTTCCTCATAAAGCTTTGTTTAATTTTCTCTTGCTGTTCTGTCTCATGTGAATTTAATTCATTCTCCGGCCAGATGAACCCACATTTGGGGAGAGGAAATGTCTTCCTCCCCTACAGTACCCTCCCTGCGTCTACACCCCAGGCGGCAGCCTGGCGCCTGGGGCGAGCGGTGGGGAGGACAGGAGCTCTGTGTGCTGTTTGTTCTGCTGCGAGGAACAGATATTAGCTCAGGGCCAATCATTAAATAAATGAACAACAACAGAAAAAACAGAAAGGAGGACCCCATCCAGCACCAGAGAATAGAAGGTGAAAGATGAGTGAAGCTCTTCCTCAAGCTCCACATACCCAGGTGCATACCATATGTTCAGTTGTGCCTTGAGGCATCTCAGGAATGTCAGGCTGCACTGGAGTGGCAGAGGTTCCCTTTCCTTTGTTTCCCGAGAAAGAAAGAAAAAATGGAAGGGTTAAGTTTGGTCTCTTCATTGTAACACTTACACCCAGGCAAATAAAATGTTGAGGCCCTTCTATGTGGTTGGCACTGTGTTAGGCAATGGGGATATGGAGGTAGATCAGAAAGATCTGGTTCCTGCCCTGATGGAGCTGACAAAGGGGAGGTAGGCACTAAACAATTACTCAAAATTATTTAATTACAAACTACCATAAACACAACAAAATAAGATGTGAAAATATTTTGTTTTAGGGTAGGGGTAGGAGAGGTGGAGAACCAGAGGAGGCTTCTTGGAGGAAGTGACACTTAAACTGTGGATGCAAAGCATGAATAGGAATTTCCAGGCAAAGGTGATGGTGGGTGTTCATAAGGAGCAGAGAGTTCCAGATAAGCAGAGACAAGAGCCTGTAGAACTGCCCTGAATCAGGAGGACTTGCACAGTTTGGGGAGTGGGCAACAGCTTCCTCCCATGGCCCTACCTCTTAACAGAAAACCAGGCATTTCTGCCCCCTCTCTCCACACATGTGTATGCCTCAAAGATCAGGCAAAACCTCTCTCTTCCACTTTCCATCTCCTATCAATAGTAAGAGTTTCTGAATGGGATGAGATTTGAACAGCATCTCTAACCCAGTACACCCACAATTGGCTTCGGTTGTATTCACAGCATTTATCACTATTTACATTATTTTATGTGAAGGAAAAGCTTTCTGTTTACTGCAGGTGAAAAAGGTTCAGGTTGCTCTGAGTCATAGAGTTTGAGTTAAGGGGATTCTAGAAACAGTATATAGTGTACAGGCCGGAAGATGAACTTTGGTGTCAGCCCTGAATGCTAATCTTGAGTCTTCCCTTTCCCAGCTGCAAGCTTTCGGATCCTAATTTTGCCACTTGTGAAAGGGGAGAAAACCAGTGATTTACAGTAATGTTATAGAGATAAAAAATTACCTACCTAAAATACTTAACGCAGGGAAGATGGTCAAAAAAGGATTCATTGTTTGTTGTGTCATTATTATCATAACACCTTAGGCAAGTCTAGTTTGCTTAATTGAACACTAATTACGATGGGCCAGGAATTTTTCTGGGCACTGCTCACATGCATCATCCCTGTTAGTATAAGATGTAGATCCTAGATCTTGTCCCAGGCCAGTTTCTCTGCACTTTTAAAAGTTTCTTTAGAAGAAAATACACACTAGTCTCCCTGGTCTCCTTTAAGCTTCCCTTTCTCCCCCCTAACATCTACAAGCATGGAAACAGGTCATGGTTTGCACATGTGAAAATCATTTGAGAAATCTGAGGCAGAGCTGATGTTTTTTCTTTCTAACACAGTGGGAAGGATCGTCTGTGTAGTCCACCAGTTGAAGGTTTGTACTGGAGAAAATAAGCCAAGCTGGCTTCTAGAGATTTCCAGGTGTTGGAAGGGCCAGGTTTTACAATGCTTCCATGAGTCTGAGGGTTACACATCCAGCCCTGCCATCAGCCCACCAGTGACTAGATATTAGTGGTCTTGAGCACTGGCTGCATATTAGACCCAGCTGGGGAGCTTTAAAAATTGCCAATGATTGGGCATCACACCAGGCCAATTAAATAAGAGACTCAGGGTGAGAACCCAGCTCAATACCTGTGAAGAATTCCCTCGGTAATCCTAAAGTGACACCAGGGTTGATAACAACTGATTTAAATAAAGAATTCTGGCCTCATTGGGTCCACTGAATGAAGCTTTGTGAGAATATAGCTAGCTATCTATATATGTATATTTGTGAGAATAATATATATCAAAGATCTGTACATGCCAGACATTTCCCACACATTTTCTTACTTGAAGAATAATGCTCTGTGGTAGAAAGCATCTCCATTTGACAGATAAGGTAACAGAGGCAATAAAGGCTTCAGTTCCCTGCTTAAGATTACAGAGGTGGAGTTAGGTCTTGGATTCTCATTCATTCATTCAACAAACATTTGTTTAATGCTTACATGCTGGGCACTGTTTTAGGCACCATGATACAACAATGAGCAAGAGAGAATCTTCTCATGGAGAGTGCATTCCAGTGGTGAGGGCAAAGAGAGACGTAAAAGAATCTCAAATAGTGACAAATGCTATAAACACAACCAAAGCCAATTATGGGGGTAGAGAGAAATGCAGTTGCTATTTTTGATATTTTGCAATGTCTCTGAAGTGACATTTAAATAGAGCCGTGAATAGAGAAACAAGGGAGAAAGTCAAGCAAATGTCTGAGGAAAGAGCATTCCAGGATAAAGCTCTGGGGAGAGCAAAGGCCTCAAGGGCGAGGTGTTTGGTGCATTCAAGCAACAGCTGAGAAGAGAGCCGAGCTAACCTAGAAGGAAAAGGGAAGAGAAGTGGGTCAAGTGTCATGCCGTGTGATTTGAGTTGATTTTTTTTTGGGGGGGGCTTCCAGCATTTGTTCCTCCTCTGGTGATTACCCACTTCTACTGTTAGCAACTATATTTTGCTTTGTAGAGACCACTCCTCCCCCATCCCAGTGCTGTGGTTTGGTAGGATTAACCCCCAATTCTGACTCTAAACTTGGTCTCTGCTTAGAGACCAATTAGAAGACTAATGTGGCATCTCAATCACGATCTTGGTTCAAAGATGGGCATAAGACTCAATCTGAGACTCAGAGGTGAAAGGAGATGTCTGCTATAATTTCTTAGCTAGTAATGTTCTCTCCTTCCTGGAAAGACCTACAAAAAGAGGGAGCTATGAAGATATGATGACATAGCTGCTATGGCTATTTTGCTGTTGCAGAGGAGTGCCCACCTGGAGAAGTTGGAGGACTACCACGTAGAGCCTAGAGATTATGCCAACACCAAGTAAAGCAGAACAGAGAGCCAGAATGAAAGCAGATCCTTGATTTTGACACCTGAATGGTTAGATCAACCCACACCTATAACACTTGCTCCTGCCAGACTTTGCAGTTACATAAAACAAAATCTCTTCATTGTCTATACCAACTGAGTTGGGTTCTCTGTCCCTTTGTATAAGTAGTTCTAAGTAAGAATTACTATAGGTATTTTTTTCCTTGATAAAAGGGAAGCCAAACTCTTAGCCATTTTTCTGTCAAATCTTGAGTTACAGGTCTTCAAGAAATGTTTGAGGGGATCAATGAGCCTCTGAGGCTATCTTCATTCCCTCCTAATTATCCCCCATCAGCAGCCATGATATAGCCCTGCTCCATGATTGCTGCTTCTTCCTCTCCCTCACTCACAGGCCCCACAATGAAGAGATGCAAAGTTGGACCCACACTTCATTATTGTGAAATACCACTTTAGACCTTAGACCATACCATGTTTGATGGGCTCTAAATGTTTTGTATTTGTCTTCATGAGAATTCATAGTATTTCTTGGATCTGTGGCTTGAAGTCTTTTATAACTTTTGGAAATTTCTCAGCCATAATTGTTTCAGATATTGCTTTAGCTCCATTCTCTTCCTACTGTCCTTCTGAAACGTTGATTACATGTGTACTGGGTATTGTCAGCATTTCCTATATGTCTCATATACACTTCTTTTTGTATATTTCATTCACTTTTTTCATTCATGCTTATTATTTTAAGCCTCCAAGTTTGTGGTAATTTGCTACAGCACCCTTAAGGAAACGAATACCTTCATTCTCAGTCGTCCAATCCTGGCATAACCAACCCACAATCCCCTGTTGTAAATTCCCTCTGTTTGAAATACCTGGTAATGTTTCTCTTTCTCCACTGAAATACAAAATGATATACCACCCTCCCCCACTCTAAACTCTCAGAACCTTGTATTTTGATCCCAAGGGGAATTAGTGAACAGTTCATGTGTGTAGTTAATACCAATGCATATTTTTTCACCTGTCATACTCAAAACTTGCTAATTGCTAAATATTTTGTGCAATTCATCCTTATAATTTCACTTAATATTTCATCTTGGAAACTTCCTGTATTGAGCCAACCATGCTATTTTACAGCTGAATACTTTTATCAA